GGTAATGCTGAGAACTACTGAGCGGGTGGCTGGTGGTGGCAGCGGCGGACGGTGGTGAGGGGCGGGGATTTTTAGGCATCTGTATTGGGTTTTTTTTTTTTCATTTTGGCAGACGGCCGAAATGTTTCAGCCACCGAATTTTTGGTGCATCCCTACTTCAGGCCTAAAATGATTTTTAAAACATGTAAAAAAAGTTTTTTAAAATGGCTCCGGGATTCAAGGCAGTCTTATAGCATCATGGGCCCCAGGGCAAAGTAATGCTCTAGGCCCCCTCCAATTTACACACCTACTCTCAAGAACTGAAGTAGAAATAGGTGACAGAATTTTACATATATTTATTAGTATTTTTAATAAAATTGATTTTGAACAATAAGAAAACATGTCATAAATCAAAGACTAATCAACACGAAGGGCACAGCACGGGGAGGAAGTCAGAAGGGCTCAGCATGGGGGGGTGCAATCAATAGGGCACAATGCAGGTTTCGGGATGCGGCCTGGGCCATCCTGGGACAGCTTTGAAGAAGTGCGACTGTCCCAACAAATCCTGGACAGTTGGAAAATACGATGTAATGCAAAATGATCATCATGGGCCCCCCATGCACTTGGGGCACCTAGGCAGTGACCAGGGGCGCCATGCATTATGATGCCCTGTGAGTACTCAAGTGGTTAAAATTTTTGGTCACGCTGCACCCCTTCTCCTACCGGGCGCAGTTTGGATGTTTTAGCTTGCCCTAGCTGCCAGCTGCCCATAGCCAGTGAGGGGAAGTGAGGAATGCAAAACATCACCCCCTCATTACACACTGCCATCGTGGAGGGGAGGGAGGTGGCAGGAGGACATGGGGGGGGGGGGTATTAAAATGCACCTTAACCTGCGTTGACAAAAATCCTTGCACCAGCCCTGTGCTTACTGCATACAAGAACATACAGTATTTTCAACAAGTTAAATCTAAATCTTTTTTTCTTGCAGGCTGAAAGCCAAGTATCCAAAGGTTTAGAAAATGATACGCCGAAACGATTTAGAAAAGTATCGGGATGTGGATGAGAATGAAATCTTAAACAAACTTACTGAGGAGGAACTGAGAGCTCTTGAAGGAGAACTGGAAGAATTAGATCCTGATGTGGGTACCATTTTTCTTCTTTTCTGATGCTACTTGATGACATTATCAGTTTTTAGTCTTTAAGTGTAACTAAAGGCAAAAAAACTTTAACCACTTGCCCTCTTGAGGATTTACCCCCTTCCTGACCAGGCCATTTTTTGCAATACGGCGCTGCATTATTTTAACTGAGAATTGCGCGGTCATGCAACGCTTCACCCAAATGAAATTTACATCTTTTTTTCCCCCACAAATGGAGCTTTCTTTCGGTGGTATTTGATCGTTTGTTTTTTATTTTTTACACTATAAAACAAAAAAAGATTGCCAATTTTGAAAGCAAATACATATATTTTTGACTTTTTGCTATAAAACATGTTCAATAAAAAAAATAAAAATAAAATTTCATCATAAATTTAGGCCAAAATATTCTGACACTGGGGGGGGAACTGACTAACTGCCACTGTCATCCCCAGTGATACTAATACAGTGATCAGTGCTAATAAAAAGCACTGACACTGTACTAATGACACTGGGCAGGAAGGGGTTAACATCTAGGGCGACCAAAGGGTTAACTGTGTGCTGTTTTACTGTGTGTGCTGTGTGTGTTGTTGTACTATGTAATCATGCTGCTTTGTATTGCTCTGCTATGCAGAGTAATACAAAGGAGCATGCTGGTGCGGACAGAGGAGAGATCTGAATGGTTTACATACAGACCTCTCCTCTGTCACTGTTCCTTGGAATTTCCAGCCAAGACCTGGTGATCGACCGCCGTATCTGCTACCCAGAAATGCAGCATCATGTATATATACACGTGATTTTGCGCAGCCCTGCTGCCCTGTAGTTCTGCTATAGGGCGGTCGGGAAGCGGTTAAGTTTTGGATAGAGTGTAGCTGAATTAGAACACCAATTAGGTTATTATTACTGTCTGTGCCCCCATTAGGGAAATTCACCCTCTCTGTTTGTCCTGGTTATAGTAGGTTATATGTTTGTCAATGTCATAGTTCACATCAGTGCTTGCAGTTCCAGTGCATTCCAGTTGCAGAAATATAGTAGAACAGCCTGCATTTTTTCTGCACAAAACTGTACTGGAACGCAGTAAAACGCACCAAAACTGCACTGGAATGCACATGTCCCTATTTAAATTGAAGAAAAAGAGAGGGGAAAAAATGAACTGGAATGCATAAAAAATGCACTGGAACACGTCAAAAACGCACTATAACGTGCCAAAAACACGCATGCAAAAACTCATCCAGAATGCATCTGGACTGCATTTCTATAGTGTTAACCGGCCCTAAAGCATATCTAAACCAGAAACAAAAATGTTGTATGTGATAGTTTACCAGTCCATAGATATGGTGACTGCATTTGTTTTGGTTTCTTAGGCTAAGAACGTTTTCAGTAAATATCAATAACTGGTGATCTTGCCAAAAATGCATTGTTGCTTTGCTAAAAATAAGGCACAAACATTTTTTCATTTGTGTGTCAACTATTTGCCCCATCAAACCGCCATGTAATGGAGGTAAACAAAGGCACACATATTTAACCACTTGCCGACGGCCTATGGTCAAATGATGGCCGCGCCAGCGGCGAACACTTCGTCCCTCCGGGAGGGTGTCATATGACGTCCTTCCTGGACCACACTATGGTGAGATCTGTCACCGGCCATGTAACTTGGACACGGCCGATAACAGATCTGTGTACCGGCCCTGTTGCCAGTACCATGTGATCTGCTGTGACCAATCACAGTAGGTCACATTACAGTTGTATACAATGAATGGCTTCCTTTCATGCCATCCATTGTATACAACTGTGTCTATCTGGGAATGGTTACACTGATCACATGCACAGGCTGGGCCAATCACAGCCCATCTGTGTCATGTGATTAGCCATGGCCAATCACAGCTAATCACAACAAAAAAAAACCTGTTCTGTTCTGTTCTGAAAAAAAACCTGACTGAATCGATTTCATTCAGTGAAATGCTTGCTTATAGCAAAGAAATTCTTTGCTATAAGCAATTAAATTGTGTATAAAAAAAAATACTGATCACTTCCCCAAAGTAGTACAATGTTACTATGGTAACATTATACCAAGTTGGTCAAAGCGTAATATGTAAAAAAAAAAACTTAAAAAAAAAATGTAATAAAAAATAAAAATAAATTGAAAAAAAAATCATCATTTATTTTTTACCGTACTGTCACCAGTCAGTGTCCCTGGTCACTGCCATACCAGTTATATGCTGATGCTGCACTGCACTGGTGACAGTATGTAAAGAAAAAAAATTGTGAAAATTTTTTTTTTTAATTTCTTCATTTTCCGAAAAATTATGACAAAAAACAATTACAACTTAAAAAAACTCACCATGAAATACGTCGGACTGTCTACTTTGCAAGAAGGGGTCATTTGTAGGATATCTGTACTATTCTGACATTCTTGGACCTCAAGAAATTAGATTGGCTGTCAGTACTTCAGGATTGATCAATTTTCCGATATATCCCATAGTTTGTGAACTCTATAACTTTCCTACAAACTAAATAATAAACACTGATTTGGGTTATTTTCACCAAAGACATGTAGCAGAATACATATTGTCCTAAATTTATGAAGAACAATTATTTATTTGCAAACTTTTATAACAGAAACAAAGAAACGTGTTTTTTTTTTTTCAAACTTTTCGGTCTTTTTTTCTTAATTTAGCAAAAAAATAAAAAACCCCAGCGGTGATTAAATACCACCAAAAAGAAAGCTCTAGTTGTGTGAGCAAAATGATAAAATTGTAGTTTGGGTACAGTGTTACATGACCGCGCAATTGTCATTCAGTGTGAGAGCGCTGAAACTTGAAAATTGGCCTGGGCAGGAAGGGGATAAAAGTATCCGGATTTGAAGTGGTTAAAGGAAAAGGATTCTTCAATTTCATTTGACCAATATTATGCTAGATTTTACTTGTGTACGGCTGTAATATTAGCCAGCATTAGATAGTCATCCCCTACTAGAATCGTTGGAAGCTTGCATGTCAACCACAGTTATCAGCACAAAAGAGCTTCTCGTGTTTCATATGTTGTAGATAAGCATGAGAAGAGAAGCAGCTTCATTACTGTATATCATTTTAGATAAAGATGCAGGCAATTTTGATATTGGGAAAAAATAATACTTCAGGGAAGAAATGCAATTGTGTGCTCTGCTCCTATACTGTGTAAAGTTGCCTACAGACATCAGAGAATATGTGTTCAATCCAGAAATTGATCAGGGAACTTTTGTAGCTGTGTAGGCCCTTTCAAGACCTTGGTTTACAGCAGTGGTTCTCAACCTTTCTAGCGCCGCGACCCCTTAATACAGTTCCTCATGTTGTGGTGACCCCCAACCATAAAATTATTTTCGTTGCTACTTCATAACTGTAATTTTGCAGTAGGAGGAATAGTGCCACGTCATTGGTGTCATTGGGAGGAATAGTGCCCCATCATTGGTATCAGTGGGAGGAATAGTGCCCCGTCATTGGTGTCAGTGGGAGGAATAGTGCCCCCTTCATTGGTGTCTGGGAGGAATCGTGCCCCGTCATTGGTGTCAGTGGGAGGAATAGTGCCCCGTCATTGGTGTCAGTGGGAGGAATAGTGCCCCGTCATTGGTGTCAGTGGGAGGAATAGTGCCCCATCATCATGGTGTCAGTGGGAGGAATAGTGCCCCGTCATCGGTGTCAGTGGGAGGAATAGTGCCTCATCATCGGTATCAGTGGGAGGAATAGTGTCCCATCATCGGTATCAGTGGGAGGAATAGTGCCCCATCATAGGTGTCAGTGGGAGGAGGAATAGTGCCCCATCATAGGTGTCAGTGGGAGAAGGAATAGTGCCCCATCATTGGTGTCAGTGGGGGGAGGAATAGTGCCCCATCATTGGTGTCAGTGGGGGGAATAGTGCCCCATCATAGGTGTCAGTGGGAGGAATAGTGCCTCATCATTGGTATCAGTGGGAGGAATAGTGCCCCATCATTGGTATCAGTGGGAGGAATAGTGCCCCATCATTGGTGTCAGTGGGAGGAATAGTGCCCCATCATTGGTATCAGTGGGAGGAGGAATAGTGCCCCGTCATTGGTATCAGTGGGAGGAGGAATAGTGCCCCGTCATTGGTATCAGTGGGAGGAATAGTGCCCCGTCATTGGTATCAGTGGGAGGAATAGTGCCCCGTCATTGGTGTCAGTGGGAGGAATAGTGCCTCGTCATCGGTGTCAGTGGGAGGAATAGTGCCTCGTCATCGGTATCAGTGTGAGGAATAGTGCCCCCCGTCATCGGTATCAGTGGGAGGAATAGTGCCCCATCATCGGTGTCAGTGGGAGGAATAGTGCCCCATCATTGGTATCAGTGGGAGGAATAGTGCCCCGTCATCGGTATCAGTGGGAGGAATAGTGCCCCATCATCGGTGTCAGTGGGAGGAATAGTGCCCCATCATCGGTGTCAGTGGGAGGAATAGTGCCTCATCATTGGTATCAGTGGGAGGAATAGTGCCCCATCATTGGTATCAGTGGGAGGAATAGTGCCCCATCATTGCTGTCAGTGGGAGGAATAGTGCCCCATCATTGGTGTCAGTGGGAGGAGGAATAGTGCCCCCATCATTGGTGTCAGTGGGGGGAGGAATAGTGCCCCATCATAGGTGTCAGTGGGGGGGAATAGTGCCCCATCATTGGTGTCAGTGGGGGGAATAGTGCCCCATCATAGGTGTCAGTGGGGGGAATAGTGCCCCATCATAGGTGTCAGTGGGGGGAGGAATAGTGCCCCATCCTTGGTGTCAGTGGGGGGAGGAATAGTGCCCCATCCTTGGTGTCAGTGGGGGAGGAATAGTGCCCCATCCTTGGTGTCAGTGGGGGGGAGGAATAGTGCCCCATCCTTGGTGTCAGTGAGGGGAGGAATGTGCCCCATCGTTGGTGTCAGTGGGGGGAGGAATCGTGCCCCATCCTTGGTGTCAATGGGGGGAGGAATAGTGCCCCATCGTTGGTGTCATTTGGGGGAGGAATAGTGCCCCATCGTTGGTGTCAGTGGGAGGAATAGTGCCCCATCATTGGTGTCAGTGGGAGGAATAGTGTTCCATCGTTGGTGTCAGTGGGAGGAATAGTGCCCCATCATTGGCATTAGTGACACCAATGATGGGGCACTATCCCACTGACACCAATGATACTTACCTTGCAGACCCCTGCTCCAGCCTGGGCTCGCTCGCTCCCTCCCTCTCCCATGGTACCGACACTTACCTGTCAGATGTCTTCCTTCTCCGGCCGCTCTCCTCCTCTTCACTCGCTCGATCTTCGCGGTGCCGCTCGGCTCCTCCTCTCCAAGCTCCACCTCCTTGCCGGTGATTGGCCGCCTGTGTGCCTCTCCTGAGCTACAGTGCCGGCGGCCAATCACAGGCGAGGATTGATCTCGAGGTGTGTCCAGATGACAGGGGCGGCATGTCATCCCGCCCACACCTGGAGACGGCGGTGGAGCGCGGCGGCGGCGAGGAGCGGTGTCTCGGTTCCTAAGACCATCGGAAATATGTGTTTTCCGATGGTCTTAGGCGACCCCTGTGGAAGCGTCGTTCGACCCCCAAAGGGGTCGCGACCCCCAGGTTGAGAACCGCTGGTTTACAGGAAGTAATGGGGGAAAACCATCCAAAAAAAAGACCTGGAGAAAAAACACAGTAGTGGCTTGCGGAAAAAACTTAGATTGCAGATTAGTTAGACTATCTGACAATGTTTTTATTGCGGTTTTGGGTCTTCTGCTTCCAGTAATTTTTCATACAAGGACAGAAAGTTAAGGTAAATCTTCCAACTGGGGTCATGAACAAAGATAAAAACCTGACAAAAAATGTTAACTCTTTTCCACAAGTTGCGAACATTGGGACTGCAGACGTTCCGGCCAAATTGGCAGTGCCCTACGACCTCCCCCCCCCGAATACTTACCTTAACAGTGCTCTCTCCACTGACTCAGCTGGTGAACATGTTTAATGGTTCCAGGTACAGGGGAGAATGTGACCTCTTCTCATATGACAGCACTCAGGTGGAGCAGCCAATTTCTCAAGGTTGGATGATAAAAGGTTCAATATAGAATACCAATTTTGTAGCTGAAATAGTGATTTTTTTATTAACCACTTCCTGTCCGGACACTTTTACCCCCTTCCTGACCAGGGCAATTTTCAGCTTTCAGCACTATCACACTTTGAATGACAATTGTGCGGTCATGCAATACTGTACCCATATGAATTTTTTACCATTTTTTTTGAGACAGATAAAGCTTTATTTTGATGGTATTTATTCACCGCTGGGATTTTTTTTTTTTTTTGCTATATAAATGAAAAGTCCAAAAATTTTGAAAAAAAGTTTTTTTCTTATAAAATTTTGCAAATAAATAATCTTTCATCATAAATCTTAACCAAAATGTATTCCGTTATATTTTTAGTAAAAAAAAAAAAATAAGCCAAATTAGTGTATAACCAAAAATTATAATTTTGAAACTTTTTTTTACATTTTAATTTTATTTTTTTATATTATTTATGGGTTTTTTTTTTTTTACATACTGTCACCCTAGCAGTACAGTGTCACCATGGTACTACTTGTACTACTTGTGGGGGGGGTGATGAATATTTTTTTTTTTTTTACAGTGATTGCTTTTACACCCATATAGGATGTAAAAGCAATAATTTCTCTTTCTGCATTCTTGCAGCCATTGAGAAATACTGAGTGAGCTGTGATTGGGTCACACCTTGTCACATGGTACAAGGCTGTTGTGAATAGCCTTGTACCATGTGACCTCTGTGATCATTCACAGATTTCATAAGTAGTAAGCAATGATGTCACAAGTGACATCTTGCTTAGTACTTTGCATGTGATCACTGATTGGCCAATCAGCGATCACATGATCGGGACCTCGTACAGAGGTCCCGTCCGACGATCGGGTGTTTCACTGTGTCCGGAGAACACAGCGGGCACCGGATCGTGGTGCTGCGCGCTCCCAGGGAGCGCGCACAGCTAGAAAAGGCGGGTGCCGTTTATGAACGGCAACCCGCCCCTGGAGTGCCACCGCCCTGCCGTTTATAAACAGCAGGCGGACGGCAAGTGCTTAAAGGGACAACTGGGGAGGAAAGAGGGACAGAGGGATTTGGCTGCAAAAGAGGGATCATTTCTCCAAATTGGGGACATTTGGAGCTATGAGTTAGGTAGTAAAGAAAAATAAAAGAGAAAAAAACGTATGCGCTGCCATGTGCCTAAACCCCCCCAAAAAATATAACTACTGAAAATGGTGATATCTGACCAAAACATACATACATACACACACACATATATATATATATATATATATTTATTTATTTATCACACTTACACATATACACACACAATAGTCTGCTGTGATATGCAAGTGGAATTGCAGCTACCATCAAATCAGTGCACTCATTGACTTAAACAAAATAATGTGATGTATAGGGAAAAAATGGTGCACTGTTCCTTTAATAGTCAATAAATCAATTATACACTGAAAATGCTCATTTCAAATATACAGTGAGGAACAGAAGTATTTGAACACCCTGCGATTTTGCAAGTCCTCCCACTTAGAAATCATGGAGGGGTCTGAAATTCACATTGTAGGTGCATTCCCACTCTGAGAGACAGAATTTAAAACAAATTCAGTAAATCAAATTGTATGATTTTTAAAGAATTTATTTGTCTTGCACTGCTGAACATAAGTATTTGAACACCTAAGAAAATCAGTGTTAATATTTGGTACAGAAGCCTTTGTTTGCAATTACAGCGGTCAAACGTTTCCTGTAGTTCTTGACCAGGTTTGCACACACTGCAACAGGAATTTTGGCCCACTCCTCCACACAGATCTCCTCTAGATCTGTCAGGTTTCGGGGCTGTCGCTGAGCAACACGGAGTTTCAGCTCCCTCCAAAGATGTTCTATTGGATTTAAGTCTGGAGACTGGCTAGGCCACTCCAGAACCTTGATATGCTTCTTACAGAGCCACTCCTTGGTTATCCTGGCTGTGTGCTCACCATTAGAATTCACTAATTATCACTAGCACAATTATGCTTCATTTTTATATGGTGTTATAGGCAATAGATGGTTTATTCTTGCACCATATATAAGAATATATATTGTTTACAGTTGATATTTAATTTTCCTATGTTTATTTATTTATTAATTGAACTGAGAAATACAACACTAATCATCAGAGTTAATATATACAGGAGCGCGGCACTATTAGTATATTTACCTTTTTGTCACAGAACACTGTTTAATGAGTTGGTGTGAGTGCCACCGAACCACAGGTGCATTATATTTTATTTTATTTTTCACTCTATTAAGATAAGCAATTGGAATATTTTAGGTAACCACCATAGTAGCTCACAAGTATATATATGAGATCCATGCCAGAAATGCATCACCAAACCCCCATCTAGATAGCGTATATGTCAAATATTCCCAAGAAAGTGAATCGAACGCTTTATAAATGTCTAGGAATAAAAGGAACCCTGGTATCCTGCGACGATGTAAAATATGAATGAGGTGGATGACTTTACGGATGTTATCAGCAGCTTGTCGCCCCAGAACGAAGCCAACCTGATCTCGATGAATAAGGGAGAGTAGATACTTAATAATTCGGGTGCTCGGAATCTTTCTCAAAATCTTCAAGTCCACATTTAGCAGCGAGATCGGTCTGAAAGCTTGTGGTTCAAAAGCATCTTCAGTTTTCTTAGGGATCATAGTAATATGCGCATTAAGAGACTCCAAAAAAAAGCCGGGAACCCTGCTTCAAAGAATTGAAAAAGGCTGTCAAATGAGGAACCAGAACGGTGGCAAATTTTTTATAGTAAAGACCAGAAAACCCATCTGGGCCTGGAGCCTTGGAGGCCTTCAAAGATTTGATGGCTTGGTAGAGTTCAGATTCAGAGATATCTGCATTCAGGGCATCTCAGGCTGCAACGGATAAAGAGGGTAGGTGCAGCTCAACGATATTATTATTTTTTAAACATATTGTCACCAGTCAGTGTGCCTGATCACTGCCATGAGGTGCCATGTTGAACTTCCAGTGACCAACATGAGAGAGTGAGAACACCAAAATTCAACACACCTGCTCCCCATTCACACCTGAGACCTTGTAACGCTAACGAGTCACATGACACCAAGGAGGGAAAATGGCTAATTGGGCCCAATTTGGACATTTTCACTTAGGGGTGTACTCACGTTTGAGACAGCAAATTTCCACTGTTATACAAGCTGTACACTCACTACTTTACATTGTAGCAAAGTGTCACTTCTTCAGTGTTGTCACATGAAAAGATATTCTAGTATTTGCAATATAATTTGTATTTTTCTTATAGAATCAGTTATTACCTGCTGGTTTAAGACAAAAGAATCAGACCACCAAAACTCCAACAGGACCTTTCCAGCGAGATGCCCTTCTAGAACACCTAGAGCAACAGGCTAAAGAAATGAAGGATAGGGAAGATCTTGTGCCTTACACTGGGGAAAAAAGAGGTGAGTGCTGTGCCTTGAAGTAGCTTTGGTAAAGGATGGCTGGTTTTGTTTTTCAGTGGTAAAATGCATAGCAAATGTAATATATTGCAGGTAATTGCAGCTCCTGTAGAAAACCCATTGTTCACATCATGGCACTGCAGTGCTGCATGCTTGGAAAAATTAGAGCATGCCCTTTTGGTTTTAAACTACAGAATGAAATATGGACATATTCTTATAGTGTGTACTTGTCTCAATCAAGAGCATCAAGTGTCATTTCTCTCTGCTGCCTTGTTCTTCTGCAATATTACTTTTGACAGGTTTTCCTGACACTAACAGAAATATGGTGACAGGGAAGGGCACAGCCTGTGATTGACAGCCTCAGCTTT